CGTTTGGAAACCATTCTGAAAAAACCTTCGGGGTGGCAATTTGACTCCCCACCCGAGCGCGTGTTAAGTTCTCAAAGTCAGGGGCCTCTAGAAAAAAAGGAGCCATTTGGTATGAGATACACGCGACGACGAAGAAGTTCCAAGTTTTTTTTAAGAGGGAGACGAACTGCAAGCGTGGAGAACGCCAAGCGACGCTGGGAAGACGGACCGGAAAATACGGATCTCTCGAGTTTGTCACTTCACGGCGCCTTCAAGTGCTTCGCTGGTTCTTTATGTTTCCATCACGTCCATGGTAAAAAGGGTTTGTTTGTGTTAGGCTGGGAGCTCCGGTGACAGTCGAAGAGTATCCTCAAAACAGAGGAGCCCAGAGTCGAACAGAACTAAAAATAACTGTATGCCACGACCGTCTAATTGCGCTCGCCCGTATGAGACACCGTGTGCCGACGGAGACCAGGACGATGATGGAGGTGCCGATGTTTCCTCAAGTTTCGACACTGTTAACCCTCTGGGATGCTGCTAAGGTGTACAGAGGTTCAGAAAGCACTGACCTTTGGCGTCCGATCGTCCTCAGCCTACACAATCACGGTTGTGCATCTCTCGCACTGCTTCATTTCGGTTGCTACAATGCTGGACGTGATCACCGAACGAGACATGACGACGATGCGAAGCGTTCTATCGGACACCCGTGCACCCGAGGCGTTACCCAAACGGGCGATCGGTCGTGCCTCTGCGTTCCCGCGTGGCACTCGGGCTACAGCTGACGGCATATTGCAACTTCCGCGAATGCCCACCGAGTTCACCCGCAGATCATTGTTCCCCGAGCAACACGCATGTGGAATTCGACGGCATCAGACGTTCGGCCGTCTTCCACTGTTAGCGCCCTGGCCTTTAAAGGAAGTGTCCCACCTTTGGGCGTATGCCAAAAACGTACTGTAGTGAAACTTCAGGATTAGTTACGTCGATGATTGCACTGGGTAGTACCACTGCAGCACCGTGAAGACATAATAGGAGCATCAATTTGAATATTTTTCGAGTCTCAGCTACACTGTCAACGCTTTATAACAGCACTACACTACACTTTGTAACAGCACTACACTTCTTCAACGCAGTCGCGATCACTGTCCTCACGACATGCACCATGCGCACCTCTACTTTGTGCGAATGAAAGAACGTCTGTGACCCCCGACAAGAGTGTAAGGCCCTCTCTTCAAATAGGAGGTACCCAAGGTCCAATGCAGAGGGCCTCAGAACGATCGAGTGTGCCCGAGCAGGTCATCAGAAAGAGCCACCGACAGGAGCGTGCGATCTTGCATTCAAATACAAAAACCCAACGCGCCGGGGCCCCGAACAATGCAGTGTGCCTGAGCAAGTCAACAGATGGGGCCCCCGACAAGTGCGTAGGGCTCTACATTAAAAAAGGAAGCACCCAAGGCCCAATTCGGAGGACCCCGAATGACCGAGTGTGTCTAAGCAAATTGGCAGATGGGGCCCGATAAGAGCGTGGGGGTGTGAGCGAGTGGCAAAAAACCGGAAGGGCCCTGGGCCAAAATAGAGAGCCCATGAGCCGTGAGCATGCCGGTTGGCTAAATGAGACATACGTGAAGGGTCCCTGAGTAACCGAGAAAACCCCAGCAGGTTAACAGATGGGGCTTCCGGTTATAACGTGCAGAGCCTTTCCGACGAGTGGAAAAAATCCGGGAAAGCTCATGATTGACAAGAGTGCCCCGGCACGCTAGCAGGAAGGATCCCAGCAACAGCGCAGCGCCCTCCGAGCGAATCCGAAGAGATCAAGGGCAACGAAGAAGGCTCCTGAGCGATCGAATTGACCCTGCAAGTGGGCATATGGGACCCCTGGAAGCAGCATAGGGCCTGTGAGCAGCGAAATGAGCGTTCACAGGCCCTATGCCTCCCTCCCATTCACCATCCTCTCAATCGGGGGAATATTTTTGATGTACCCGTGGACCTTTCACTTTCGCTTGTGGCTGCTCCTGGTCGCCTGGAAGCCCAAAGCCGACCAATTTTATTGCATGCTATTTTGACGTGTTTGCGTCTGCGACATTGCGTGTTATTGCATATTACAAGTTGCACTCCCACGC